AGGTCGAAATTATGGGAAAATATTTTTAAGAGTATATTACAATTACTATATTACTATTACTACAAAAAAGAAAATACATACAGCTTGAAGAATATTCACTAAGTAAGATGGTGAAAAATTATTATAAAAGCACTTTAAAAACAATTTTCGGTACATTATGTAATGACAAATTATAACATCTGAGATTGCCCGCCAACCGGTACTCAATTTTCTATCGATAGATGACGCGGGAATGCTAATTTGAATAGATTTATTTTATTTACCTTATAGGCAACTCTTTTATAATTTTCCCTATATTTGATGTCCAAAGAATATATTATTTTTTGTTGATGTTATATACTTGTTTAGGATACATTGGGTGCTATGATTGAACGTTTACGTTATCCGTAACGTACATGTTAGGCCGAGTTTTAACAGTAATGAGGCAAGTTCGTATGATGGAAAACTTTTTCCAACACGTTACTGTTATTTTCCGCCTGTTATCTTCTAATTTAACAGTTTTCCATCATCCGAACTTGCCTCGTTACTTTTAAAATTCGGCCTAACATGTAAGTTACGGATAACGTAAACGTTCAATCATAGCACCCATTGTAATCTACATGAAATAAATTTTGGGCTCACTCCGTATACGTATATTTTTTATAATGATCATAATGTTTTGGTTTAGAGGTAACGGCATTTATGTAGAGAAGAAAGATGTCTGGGTTCGAATCACGGAAACTATTTGTTTTCACCTTTGGGGTTTGTGGTTGGTCTTGGTAATTCCTAGGAGTATTTTTAAGATCATAATTATTATAAAGTATTGTTTTCATATATTTATATAATCTTATGTAAATATATTATTGACCATCAATATTTTAAGCTTCGAATCTTTTTTTTGATAATAGGTTTTCATACTTTAATTTAAAAAATTATTAACCCTGTATAGTTGTTTTCCAAAAGGGTTGGTTTTGTATTTTGGTAGTCAATAATATCTTAATGTTAAACCGTAAATTTTAATATTCTCAAGTTCTATCTCGAAAACTAATCATAGAAGATATTTGTGCCCATAGATGCTTTTAATTAGGAGTAGAAAAACTTCATCATATATAAAATTCAGAACATTTGACCGAAAATTCTTTTGTTATAAGGAAACTGTGGGATCCTTTCATAAAAAGAGGATTTGTTATTCAATGGTGCAGATGTTTCACCTAAAGAGAGACTTATCAACTAGCTTTCGTATTATTTACAAGGACAATCTCAGAAATAATAATACAGCCAGACATAAAACCGTTTATTAATTAAATATTCTTCAATTCCGAGAAATATCAATTTCAGGAGGCTACGATCCAACTAACAACAATGCAGTTTTGAGAAATGATTATTCACGTTTAATAATGGCCATAAATCTAACCGAAAACGAGGGTGTTTGTTTTCTTCATGCAGTAATTATAGGGTAGATTATTCCAGAAATTAACCTGTGATTTTAATTATGGACCAGACCAGCGCGCTTATCTTATAGACCATAAAACATGTAAATTGCATGGTATGGTCAACTAAGGGCAGCAGAGCTAACATTAAAATTATGAGAAATTCAAATAAAATTAACATGATTTTTATATGCAAATTAAGTCATAATTCATGTCGGAATTGAGAATGTTGAAACTTGAGAATGATAAGTTTCTTCATTTCTTTGTTCACGTCTTGCTCTAATAAATAGGCTGGAAAAATGTAACGTTTTTTGTATGTATGAAACATTGCACACAACGGAGAAATAAATGTCAATCCAGAGTGACGCATTTGCAACAGATATGTATATTTTTGTTAATTTGTTATAACTAATAATAATTAATATAAGAATTATTGATTGGATACATTTATGGTTAGTTTAATTAATTTATTGTTATACGTACCATTTTCCATGCTCCTTTCTGTAAATCTGAACCTTTATTCAGTTTTTGTGCAGGAATTGATTTTACCTTTATCTTTATTTATACAGGGTGTACCAATAAAAACTACCAGGCTGGATATTTTGGTAAATAATAGAGATATTTGAATTCTGTAAAAGCCAGTTCATAGAGCGCTAAGAGAGCTTCAGTTTTAGATATAAATTAATTTTAAATAGGTCAATAGGTACATGGCGCTTCGCTCAATATATTTTTTTCGATGGGAGGATCTTTCTTATATAACGCATTTTGTACAAAGTGCATTTTTAAGCAGATTTTGTTCTATAAACTAATTCGATAAATCTAGCCATTTTTGATATACAGAGTGGGTCACTCAAAATAGTTTCATCCTGTTTTTCAGCATTAATCATTGGATTTTTAGAAAATGCTTAAACAAGTCGATTTTTATTTCCAATTAAACACATTTTTACAATACAGACATCTGTCATGTGTCAACCCCCTCCCTTCTACTTCTCCAACCCCTTAATTTTAAATAAGGAATGTATCATATACGGCACATCATTGAAAAGGTAATTTTATGGGGAAGTCAGAAATATATTTCGATATTTTTAATTTTAGCGCCCTCTATCGGGATAAAACACCTGTAATGTATTATAAAGTGTGATACTTCATTTGAAAGCTAATTTAATTGCTTATTCAATGCATCACATATCATTAATATAAATATTTCCATATTGCACTTGCAATAAAATAGTGTTAGCAATAATGTTTAAAATAATGCTTGAATAATTTTTAAACTATTGCAGGTGCAATATGGAGGATATTTATATTAATGTTATATGGTGCATTGAATTATAAATTAAATTTGCTTTCAAATAAGATGTCATACTTTATAATACGTACAGTTTTTTATTATGATAGAGGGCGGTACAAATAAAAGTATCGCAGTCATATTTCTAAATTCCCTATAAAATTACCTTTTTAATGATATACTGCACATTGTATAAAACGTAGTAGTTTTTTATCCCGTTAGAGGGCGATAAAATTTAAGTAACGCAATATACAGAAATATTTCTGAATTTTCCATTAAATTCCCTTTTCAATCCATACATGGTACCTTTTTAAAATTAAGGTGTTGGAGAAGTGCAAGGGAGGGGGTTGACACATGACAGATGTCTGTATTGTAAAAATATTTTTAATTTGGAATAAAAATCGACCTATTGTAGCATTTTCTTAAAATCCAATGATTTATGCTGAACAACAGGATGAAACGGTTTTGAGTGACCCACTCTGTATATTAAAAACAGCTAGATTTATCGAATTAATTTAAAGAATAAAATCTGCTTAAAAATGCATTTTTTACAAGATGCGTTAAATAAGAAAGATCATCCTATCGAAAAAAATATATTGAGCGCAGCGCCATCTACATACTGACCTATTTAAAATTAATTTATATCTAAAACTGAAGCTCTCTTAGCGCTCTATGAACTGGCTTTTACAGAATTAAAATATCTCTATTACTTACCAAAATATCCGGCCTGGGAGTTTTTATTGGTATACCTCAAATTAAATTAGTAATTAACGTAATATCACTTTAAATTCTGATAAGTGTTTTTAGTTCCTTCAAAATTTTTGTTATTTAAGCAATAAGTGTTCGTGGATGATCTTGGTTTGTTTTAAATGATAATTTACTGACCATTCCTTGGTGGAACCACAGGCCACAACCAACCCTAGTGAACCTATTTTACAAATCTTCTTTCTTATAGTTACTAATTCTTGTTTTTCTTTATTAATTGGTTTTATAGTCATTATATACTTTTATAAAGAAATTTGGAGATATTTTGTAGTCTAATTAATGAAAAAATTTCTTTTTTCTCGCGGTTGCCTTTTCGATTTCGGTTAAATCGCATAATATATACCGTTGTGGTAGTCAACTGTAGTGGTTTAAACTGTGATTCCAGTTATTATAATTTTGAAAACTGGCTGTGTTGACTGGACTGGATAATTTTTTGCTAAAATCTTTGAAGTCTGTTTATTTAATTTTTTATCTTTAAATACCCCGAGAAGTTAAAAAAGTACTTTCTTCCAATTATTGTCGTATAATTAATATAAGATACACAACTATATGTTACGTTTTATGCGATGGAGACTTGCCAGTCTATTGATTAACGGACCAAAAAAGTAACTGAAGATAGTATCTAGCTGAATTTTTAAAAAGACAGAAACTCTGATCATTGTTGAGATACTTTACTTTACTTTAATTGAAAAACACACCAGAAGCGAGGAAAAATTTAAACTGAAGAAATAGAAGTATATCTACTACAAATAAAGGAAACCAACTGAACCAGATCAGAAATGTATGTAGCACTCCACCGGAAGAAATACATATTGGCCAACCAATATAAATAAAATAGGTACCATAGTTCCTGGATATTTTTATTTATAGAAATATTGCAGAAAATTTTATAAAGAAAGAAGATGTTGAAAAACTAATATCGCATACCTCTAAAATGATTATCACTAGAGAAACTAATTCCACACTGACGAGCAAACATGCAGACTGTGAAACATTTCAACTTAAACCTAGTGAAAAAATTGAATGAAGTGTCCCAATTGTGAAAGATTTGGACAGAGAAACAGATTTATATATGGTTGATATGTAACAAGCTGCATGAAATAATTCACCATTAATACAAAGAAAAACCATACATTATATACAAACCCAGAGAGAATCTCGAAAGGAATGGCATAAAATGAGAACCGAAGATAAAAAAAACTAATTAAATATACTTACACAACAGCTACGAAAAGAGCAAAAATCAAAAATGAGTTAACCAACAAATAGCTGAGAGAGCTCACAAATGATCAAATCGTAGCAAAAAAAATGCAAACCAATCCAATACATACCCCCAATTCGAACAGATAATAAAAAGTGGGTAAGAAGTTAATGCTTTTACCAACTATATATCTGTGGCTTTGTACAAGAAGTGCATATGTCAGTTTATGTGCAATTGCGATATTCGTTTTTAAAGTTTTTGATGAAAAACTGTATTGAATAACTTTTAGCACAAACGTTTCAGCTGTTTCAAATTCGAAATAAAAGGCAATAATTGCAAGCAATTTTGTAATCTTTGTCATCAAAAAAAAAACACGAGATGGACACTTCTTGAAATAAGTTTTCTGATAAAATTTTTGACATAGGTAATACATTGAAAATATTTAATTTTATTGCAGAAAATAACATAACAATCTTAAAGTATACTAATCATCTTCATATATACGTTCGTCTGGCAAATATTATTCATTAGACAACCCTGGCTCAACAATAAGACCATTGTAGAAATATTCGCTCGTTTCTGATACATGCGGCATTAGGGCTTTGAGATCTGTTAATTTTTTTCGGAAGCGGGATTTGACTACAATGTAATGGCTGTAAAATGCTTTCTTTTGCTAATGAACCTCCTACCCCAAATGATGTAGTCGAACGAATTATTGTACAAAACTTTTGCGGGATATTCAGTTTTGTACTGCATCCATCTTATTTGCAACCAATTCACTGCTTCCTTGTTAGTGTTAATCTTGCGATGGACGTAGTTACCTTTTAAAATTTCTTCAAAATTTAGCAAATCTTTTTGTTCTAATTCTACTACTTCTATGGGAAGATTTCTCGGGACCATTCTAATTAAATTTGCTCAGTCTCTGGGTAATTCACTTTTCGCTGTAGTTTTGTTCTTTACCTTTTCAAATGCAGCGTGTATAGTATCTGCTTCTAAGTGTGTATGTCCGGGTTCAAGATATTTATGAATTATTATAATTTTTCTTTCAGTTTTGGCAAAATCTTCTATTAGAAGACATAACATCATCGCAAAATATATATTTGTAGTTTGCCCTGGACAACAGTCGCTAAACATATGAATTTCAGTAATGTTATTTGGTAACGAAAGAATAAAATGGCGCAAGCAAAATGCAATTTCTTGTCCATCTCTACCACCCAACGATTTATCCTAAATATAACATATAGCGTGTTTCTTTTTATGTACACAACTGTAAATAGTTAGGTTGTAAGTCCACAAGGATCTTTTATAAAAAGAAATATTATTTTGTAGTAAAGGAGTAGGTTGGCATTTTTTTAAATCAAATGACAAAAATACAATAGTGTCATTGTCGCAACTTGCTGCTTTATCTTTTTTCTTCTTCTTGTATGCTTCCTCGGCCATACTTAAATGTTGGCTGTAATTGTCTTCGTAAACTTTTCTTACTTGTAAATCAGAAGTATTATTGATCTGCAATATTTATTTGTCACACTTGACACATGTATCATTAGATGGATGATGAAATGACAGATTAAAGCTGTCTACAAATATGTTTCTATAAAATGACTCTAACTGTGGTTGTATTTTCCTGGATATGCCTTCTTCTTTGTATAACCTGTACATTTTAGCAATATTTAAATCTTGGGACAAGTATTTCTTGTCTGTATGCGACCTCGAATAATGGCTAATGTAAGATGGAAAACTTCCAATATCCTTTTTTGTAATAGCAATTGCGTCGATGCTAACTTTTGTTCGATGACCATGTCTTCCTCGTTTATCATTAGGACACATACGATCCCTCGTAGACTCTCCTTTCTTCCTAGCCATCTCATTATATAAAAAATAAAGCAACGTGAAATTGCGCTTACTTGGCCTTCTATCCTGCTGAAGTCTTTCAGTCTTCTTCTCAACTTCCTCAAGGCTCTGAGCTCTGGCTTCTTGACGCACATTTCTAGACCACCACGTTATAGAACTTCTTTTCCTCTTTCTCGTTTCTATTTCGGAGCTTGATCCTGCATTGCTGATGGGTTCAATTTCGGTACTTGGCCCTGCATTGCTGTTAATAGGTTGGATATCAGGTATTTCTTCATTTTCAGAAGACGACAACTCAGAATAAGAAGAATAAAGTTCATCCGAACTATCGGATACAAACAAGTCATCAAAAATGTTGACATCCTGATATTTTTTTTCCGATGCCATTAAAAAAAACCTACAAAATTTATTAATACAGGTATGACGATACATACAATAATGTAAAAATTACATACCTACGAAGTCTTCTTTGTTTTATTCTGTTTTATTGAAACAAGCAATTTTTAGTTGACATTAACATTAAATTATTGATCACTGTCAAAAACAAAACTACAAACCAGCACTCTTGATAATCTATTATAGTTTAAATGTTTCAAAAATTTCTAACATAATAACTTTGATAACTTGCAATAGACTGATTAAATTAATAACAATTATAATGCAAATATATTTTGGCTATGTACGTAAGAAGCTATTTTTAGTTAATGAAAGAAGTGCATATGTCATGACATGAGCAATTTCTGTACCGGAAATTTTAAAGATAAATCCTTAATTATACATAGGCACTTCTTATAACTTTTGTCTACTTAGGTATATCTTGAGGAAAGTTTTAAGTAGTTAGTAAATGACATAGACATTTATAATTTTGTAAAATTGGATTTAGATAATTCTAAGGGCTTCGACATTATGCCGTCTTAAAAATTTACATTTCTATTAGTACTTCGACATATTTATCTCAAAAACGCAAAATAGTGACATATGCACTTCTTGTACCAAGCCACAGATATATTTAATTATGAGTGATTATTAAACAACAGAGCTCAATTTATTTGTATATATTGCATACATTTTTGAGAAAATGCTTTAAAACGCTGTAAAATGATTCAAAATGCTTTAACATGCCTATAAATACTTCAGTGCTGCAAAATCCTTATATTTAATATTACACGATGGTTTAACAAAAATTATAACTTCCAATTTAGTAAAAAAGTTAAATGTTGTCCAAGAGTTCAGATATTTATTTTATGGAAAAACACTAGAAAACTAAGTAATTCACAGAATCGTTTAACCGTTTAACATCGAATTACCAAAGTACATCCGCCGCAATAACTGTCACCATTTCGACCGCTATACAGGGTGTGCGCGTCTCGCATAACTCCTGCCAAAATGAGAAACGGTCCCTGACGTAGCGCGGACAAATGACGGTCTACGGTTTGGTTTATGGAGAGACCACCGCCGGCTCGATTTGATCTCGCAACTAATGGCCGCCTCCTTAATGATTGCAATTGTAATCCACCGTGTTTACTGACTTTAATTGGTCGCGTCAGATGCAGAACAGAGTGTTCGACCGTTGTGTACAAGAATTTATGGACGAATCCGTCCTGTTAATGGCTCCCACAGGACTGCATTGTCTTTTTCTTCTCGGTCGCACCAAGGTCTTCGTCGCTTCTTCTTTTTTACGGTGATGCCAAATTTCAAATATGTAACTTCGCCTCCCATCTATAATTTATTTACTCTTCTTAATTGTGATTGTCCCGATATATTAATGAAAAAATGCAAAAACAATATCTACAGAGTGCATGTACGAATTTAATCATAAGAGTTTAAAATTTTGCTACTACTTATTTCAAATCTGGGGTTAATTAAAAAAAAAAACATTTGGAAAATGACTAAATAGTTAAAATGCTTGTTTAATTGTTAATATCAAAATTATTTGCTTTGAGCAAAGCTCGTTAGTTTTTATTTGTTTATCTTTCTATAAAATTAATTTTAGACGACAATCAAGTTTCTGAAGGAATGTCATGGAGGGAAAAATTGAATTTGCTATTTCGAAATGAAAATTAGAAAAATTTTATATAAATTGGAAACCTTAAACAAAAACAGTTGTATATACTATTTTTATTTAAATATTAAAAATAGTAAATACGTGGAGAAACAAAGAAACAGAGAAGCAGAGAACAAAAATGAAAAGATCATCAGAATAAAATAGTAATAAAATAAAAACAGAGTAAGCAGGGTGCAGCCAAAGGTATCAAAGGGTCAAATAATGTTTTTAAAAATTTAACCGGCCCCATATTTGAGATTATGTTTTGGTATTTGAAAGTTTCCATGTGTTCCATATCATATCTGACTTACAGTGTTGTTTAAATCCGAATGAGACTAAAGCTATATCCAGGCCTAATGTTCCCTTCTATATCCCTAGGTTAGGTTAGGTTAGATTGAAAATGAGTGGGATGATCTCATCGCCTTTAACTGCAACCTAGATAGGTCTATTGTGGCTCATGACTAACTCATAGTTCACCGTACAAGCCACACCTTTTGATAAAGGTCATGGTTGAATTGGGTGAGACTTCTCTAAAGTCGGTAGGCTCTAGTCGGGTAAATCCGATGATCTGGAACCTTCTAAGAGGAGCAGATACATAAAATGTGCTCTCCAGGCTCGTCTTCCACGCTGCAGAATCGACAGTCCGATGTTTGTTGCAGACCTATCCTTCTCATGTGGTTGCTCAGACGGCATCAGTGTCCTGTCATTAGTCCAGTGAATATGCGTAGATCTTTCCTAGTCCATTCTCAGATCTGAGCAGAGGCGTTCATAGAAGGGTTAGTTATAAACGCCTTCGAATGGGTTAGCCCTGGGGTATCTCTCTACTTCGTGAGTGTTGCACCCTCCGTCCATTTTAAGATAATTCCTTTGTCAGTGCTTTTTGCAATGCCCAGGAATGGTTCTGGTCCTATGAACACAGATTCGGTTCCTCTTTTAGCAAATGCGTCGGCTTTTTCGTTGCTCTCCATACCACTGTGTCCCAGAACACAGATCAAAGTAACTTTGTTTCGGGCACCAAGGCATTCTAGGGTATTTATACAGTTCCAAACCAGCTTTGAGTCAACTCTATTGGAGCTCAGGGCCTTAAGGGCTACCTGGCTATCTAAAAAGATCTTTATAGTCCTGTTTGCGAAGAGAAAATTGATCAACTCTCTCGCTCCCAATTCTATAGCAATTATTTCTGCTTTTAAGATCGTGGCCAGAGGGCCTAGGTTTACTGATATATAGGCCTCTGGCCGAAAACTCCCGCTTCTACTTCTTTTTCAGTGTTGGAGCCGTCCGTGTACAACGCATAGTCTGCCTGGGAGAGGGTTTTTCCCCTCTGCTCCATGCGTCTCTCTCTGAAATGAGGACGCTGTATGGTTTTCTATGTGCTGTCGGGGAACTAGCGAGTTTGAGACCATGCCGAGGAAGAGGTGGTTAATAATTTCACTCATCAGCCCCGTCTTGTCCCATCGCAGTTCTTCGTAACATTGACTACCCATCTTCAGGAGACTGTAGGAGACCATCCTGGCCTCCCATTCCAGCAGAATGTGGAGATGGGTTAGGTCCAGCATAGTCTCCATGGCTCCCGTAGTTGTGGTTGATATTGCTCCAGTTATGGCGAGGCACGCAAGCCGCTGTATTCCAGCCAGATTTGCTCTGGCCATCCCTTGAAGTCCCTTGTCCCACCAGATGACAGAGCCGTACGTAACCATGGGTTTTACCACTGTTTGGTAAATCCAGTAGGTCAGTTGAGGACTGATCCCCTATGCTTTGCTGCATATCCTTCTTAGGGTCCAGAGGGATAATCTGGCTTTGTTGATGGTTTTATCCAGTTGGGGGTTCCAGGTGAGTTTCTTATCTAGGGTGATTCCCAGATATTTTACCTTCTTCGCAAAAGGAATGGTTTCCCCAGCCAAGGTAGGTTGTCCAAGCTTGTCGAGCTTTCTTCTCTTGGTAAAGGAAACAATAACAGTTTTGCGGGGGTTAACAGACATATATATCCCTAAGAGATTTAGATGTCCTCTAAGGCCACACTTTCCCGTAGAGTTGACCTAACCTATGATTTTTAATGGACTCTATGAATATTATAAATTGTCTGGGTTCAGGATTCCCCAAAAAGATCAAAATTAAAACTGTTTCTGTAAACTCGTTTCTAATGGAAGTATTTATAGAAGAGTAAAAGCGAATTAAAGTAGGTACATCCATTGAAGAAATAGCAAAAAAAATGCGTACACAAAATTTAGCAAATGTATGTTTTTAAGTTGCAAAGTTTTAATATCCAAGTACTCAGTTATTAAAAATTATCATAGTTTTAGTTTTCTGTAGTTTTTTTTAACTGATAAATAAAAAGACCAAATTTAAAACAAAGTGTGCTCTTACTTTGTTAGAAATAAAACAAACCCTTAAAGGTATATCTTCTTTTAGCCATTTGATTTTATAAGTATCTGATTTCATTGCCTGTCTACATTTACCCCATTTTGTGGGGTACATGGGCACACCGGACAATAAAAATAAAAAATTGAGATATATCATCTTCTACTTATTTATTTTTGTCTTGCTGCATTTTAAAATAAACTGTATATACCTACCTATAATCAATTCTCGAAATGTAATAGATTTATGTTCTACCATTTTTTCATAGGTTTTTATTTATCTTGAAAATTTGAAAGGTATCTTCAATTATCCCGAAGGACATTATCCGATTTTTTTGAAGATAAATGTCTAGCTCTCAAAATACAGCAAATTATAATAAAAACAACGTGCCACATCAAAATGATCAATATAAAAACAATGTAAAACCTCAAGAAACCTTTATACAAAAAATAACTTTAGTGCTTTAAATACAAAATTTATCACAATCAATACTTAATAGGACATAATCAACAGAAATAGAGATACAAGTCATCTGTGATAACTACGGGCGGCTATGAATTAAATCCATTCTAACATTTAAAAAGAAGAATTATACGCTCCACAAGGACTACTTTACAAAAATTTTTGTGTATCACTCCTTATAATCAAATAATAAAATATTTCTTATCATCTACACCTCAAAACACGTGTAACTTCATTAAATATTTTAGGCCTGATGATGTCCGTCAGTGTCTGAATAAAACTAGTCGTGCCTTGTACCTATATTCCAGTAAAATAAAATAGGTAATTGACCTTAACTTTTTTTCTTTCCCTTTAGATATAATTTAATAATCTTACTTGATATTTAACTAAGTCAGAAAGACAAATATACACAATTTGAATTCAGAGACATTAAATTAAAACAAAAAAACGACAACATTCATTATTTCTTATACGACAACAAAATGACGGAATTGTTGAAATACTTCCCAGTTTCGAGGTATTTCGCAAAACGTACAATTTGT